GAATTTAATAAACATTGGATTTGGTTCTGCTGAATCAGGTCTGGTCTGTTAGTCTGTGTTCCTAGCTTTTGTTTGCTATCTTACAAATTGATCTGGACTGTGGTCCCTTCATAAAATTTGTATAATTTTATCTTATCTTTCTAATGAATATAATTTCATTCAAATTGGAGACCTGTAACTCAAGTTATGTTTTGAAAACACAATAAAGGTCAATGTTACTTTTATGCTGGAAATTTTCTATGTCAAGTCATTTTGTATAAATATGAGAATTTTTATGACTTACTTAAGTTGAAATTAAATGATTCCTTCAAAATGAAATTTTGAAATGAAATTTTCATTATGAATTCAAGTTATTTTGTCTTCTTAAAATCATAATAAAAACTTAATTTCAATTTAAGTAATTCATAAAAATTCTCATATTTAAACAAAATGACTTAATATAGAAAATTTTCAGCATAAAAGTAACCTTGACCTTTGCTGTGTTTGCTGTTTTCAAAAATTTAACTTGAGTTATGGTCTCCAATTGAATGAAATTTAGATTCAATTTAGAAAGCTAAGACAAAATTCTACAAATTTTTATTAAGGGACCCATAGCATAAGACAATTTGTTTAAGAATAGCAAACAAAAGCTAGGAACACAGACTAATTAGACCAGACCCTGATTCAGCAGAACCAAGTCCAATGTTTATTAAAATTCTACTAAACCAAACACTCCAAATTAAACCAATCTAAAACCAGGGAAGTCTCAAGACACAGAGGCAAAACAACTTTCATGCAGAACCAGACAACCATGATTTTGTTATTATTAGTGGTCAAAATTCCAACTCAATTCAGTGATTGCATATGCCCGACATAACAGAGTCAGTTTGGGTGTTATCAGTTTGGGTGTTTCAATCATAAGTTGAGATATATATCTCCAAATTGGACACAAGAGGATAGGTTGGAAAGCTAAGAAGTAGACCTACAACTTTTATGAAGGTCTCAGACACAAATGGAAACTAGAAAGGATCGAAAAATGGTCCTTAATCTCACTCAATAACACATTTTCCCCAAATTCAGCTTTCTTCAACCATGAAAAGAACACGAACAATAAAGATACAAGGTAGAAATGTCTACCACTTAATAATTACTCATCAAAAATCACCCAAGAGTATGTTATTACAACCAAGATTCAACAAATCAATCATTTCATATGAAATCCCAAAATATACACATGATAGCATAAATGCACAAAAATAAAAAATTAGAGTAAGGTAAGTATGTTTATGAACACTAACCTTCAAACACAAGCTTTAGAAAGCTTTAATCAAAGCTCTTTAAGCTTTGGTCTTGCCCTTATCTTTGTTAGAAGGCTCTCCACCCTCTACATGGAAGAAAAGAAACTCAAAATCCAAACAAAGAGAAACAAATAAAAGAAGAAATTGGAGGCATATAAGCATGTATATGCTAAAAAGAAAAACTCTAAAACCCAAAAATTAATGAATGACAATAAAATCACTTACTTGACCCAAGTAGAAAATCTCCAAATTCCTTGAAATAGTCATCAAAAATCACTCTCTAGCTTTCCTCTCTAAATAAATTACTTAAATCAAGTTGAGATGGGGTGAAGTTGATGTGTTAGTAAGCTTAAGGGGAATTGAAGAAGAAAAATTGCAAGGAGGGAGAAGAAGAAGAAGCAAGACGTTGTAAGGAAAAGAAGAAGAAAGAAAAAGTGGAAATGCTCAAGAGAAAATGTTATGAGGTAAGAATTAAAAGACAAGAATTTGGCTCTATTTAAACGTTGGTGTGGAATTCTGTTGACATTGATTATTGATTATCATGTAACAGACTGAGCATGCTCAGAGGCAATTTGATGCCCATATGGATAAGAACTATTGAAATATGCTAGGCACGTAAGTGTCTTATGTTAGGGCGGACGCGCTCTATATGTTAATGAAAAGGTCCGACTAAGGCCATTATTAATAGGCTATGAAACTATCTACTTCCTTTTTCTCTTAAGTGGTATTGTTGAGCCCTGTAATAAAATATTTTTAAGGAAATGAAATTAGATGAGATTACATTTTTTTTTTTGACTTAAATCTTAGTTTACAATAACTTATTTATGATTATCAATGAGTTTCGTAAAGCATGATGTGTTGGTGTATATATGTTAATGCATGTTTCAAATTTTAATGATTTTATGTGTTATATAAAGATTTTTAAGTATGTTCGTCATCACAAACATTGGTTTTTGGTTATGAGCACCAACGGAGTTTTATACTCAGTGCGTTGATTTTTATCACGCGTAGGTTGGAGACTGCTTGGCTGATAAAGACCTGAAGAGTAGGGCAATCAGAAGCGAAGAGATATTTTGGTAGTCGATTGATTATGTAATTAAGAATTATGGCATGTATAAAGTAGCTACATTTTGGAGACTATATTATTTAATTTATGACTTAAGCTGTTAATGTAAAATTGATGTTTAATATATTGGGAGGTAAACTTGGAACTTATTTAATGTTAGAACATTAGAAGTTTGAATTTTTACATTAAGATATTTAAGTGATGAAATATTAAAACTGTTATTGAGGAATTCATAGTACTGAAATTATAAAGTGTTATTGTGTTGTTATTGGAGTTTGATGGGGGTTTGAGTGATTGGGGTTGGAGTTTGAATTGGGAAGGCTGCTTTGTTATTCATATGTTTGGGGCGACTTATTAGGGAAACTCTTGTAGTTTTTCTGTAAGGACTCCCCCAAATCATTTTCAAAACCAAAATATTTATCAAATCATTTTCAAAACAAAATATTATTACTTGCTAAACTTGTGAATACTAAGTCACTTTTAATTCATAATATGATTGTATGATTTATATATAGGTTAAGACGGTGCCTCCGACACCGAATGTGGCATTCGCCGTTGGGTCTCTTGAGATTGGATAGCGGGTATTACAGATCCATTATTGTATTTTCGATTTGTTCCAATTGTTGTTTCCCATCAAAAGCTCTTGCCTAGTTCATCGCGATAACCAAATTAGACTGATTATGTGTTTTGACATCCAATCTTATGATTTCTGATAATCTGGCAGTAAAAATATTGACTTGTTGGTCATTCCTGATTGTCGTAACCCTTGCTAATAGCACCTGCAATTGCCTTTGGTACACCTCAACAAAACTTGTTTGTTTTAAATTGACTAATTCACCCAAAGGATTGCCCTTGACCGAAACGGAGATTGCAATAGTTTTTGAAAACTTCCCATGAGATTCTAGGTTCTTCTTGCTCTAGTTTATAGTACCCTAATTGAGCTTTTCCAACCATATAAAATGTTGCCAAGCTCACTTTATCAACCTCTTCCATTTTTTTGAGTAAGAAAAAATAGTTCACACATATGAAGCCAACTTAATGGATCCTCAGACTCATTATATGTAGGAAAATCCAATTTGGTGTATCCCAAAATTTTCGCGGGAGCAACACGTGTCTTGAACCTTTCCTCAACATCAACATTTTTATTTTGTGAAGTTGAATTGCTGCTTCTCTCCTTAATTCCCTTATTTTGATTTCTGGTTGATTTGCTTAGAAGTTGCACTTGTCGAGTTAGATTCTGCAGCTAGGTTTCAAGTCGAGATTCAACTTGGAGCATTCAAGCTTCATTCTATTCCGGTAGTTCTTGTAAAATAGCTTTGCTCTCTCTAGTTGAATCCCCCTGACATATGGCTCTGATACCAAGTTGTTATGTTCATGCAATCAGGATCCTGTCACAGGCTTGTTAGTAATAATTCTGATTCAAAATGTAAAACTTTTTTTTTACCACGATTCTTTCCTCGACCTATTGTTGCTAAAAATTACAAGCTCGTTAAAAGGGAACTCTAACCTTAGACTTGAGAGAGAGAATCTATATCTCAATTTAGTTGAAAATAATTCTACTTATTTTATTTTCTTTCCTCGACCTATTGTTGCTAAAAATTACAAGCTCGTTAAAAGGGAACTCTAACCTTAGACTTGAGAGAGAGAATCTATATCTCAATTTAGTTGAAAATAATTCTACTTATTTTATTTCATGATTAAAGCCTCCAATTTATAAAGGAATACAAAGGAATACAAGTACTAATTAAAGTAATTCTACTAAAATGAGATCTCTTACAATAAATAAAATAGGAAACAAAATAGAAAGATAACTAAATAGGAAGATTATTAAATTGCAGATCTCCCACCAAAAAGGGAAATAGGAAATTACTAAATAGAAAGACTACTAAATAATTGATCTCCTACCCAAAATAAAATAGAAAATTACTAAATCGGAAGCTACACTGCAACCTGCCGTAATTTCATCTCTAACACTTCCATTCATCCTATGATTTAAGATTGTCTTGCTTTCTGTTCCTTGATCTTTAATTATTTTGTTCCCTCTTGGTTATGGGCATGAAAACAATATCCCATTTCTTCTTTGTGGCTTGCTTTAACCACCTCTTTTTTTATGGAGGCAATCTCCTTCACTGAGAGCGCTTCAAACTTAGAAGTTGAACCTTCTTCACATTATCAACTCCCATCATTTAAGTTTCAAAGAGTCTCTCCACACCTTGATGAATGATATTAAGTGCACATAAGTTTTACTAAAACCTTGGTTCGCCATGGTATGGATACGAAATATAGCACTTCGTAAATTTGTGATAGTAAGGGTTGCGGTACGTTGAAAAAATTTACTGACTTTGCTTTGAATTATATGCATGAGAAATGATATAATTGAAAGCAAATAGTTTGTTCACTTTTTAACACTGGTGCATATCGATCTTTCTTCTTCTCCTTCGACTTGACTCAACACTGCCTCATCTGCAGGCTCCTCAAGGTTCTTTATATTACAACATTCGATTCATCTTAAGAATTCTGATAAATTGTGCTTATAGTCAACTATGAATAGTGAAAGGAAACAAAGGCTTTTTTGTTGGTCATTCTCATACTATATGGTTCTAGTACCACTTGTTGCAAGTTGTGTTGGGAAAAAAACAGAAGAAAAAAAGTACAGCTTTATGAAAATAAGGTATGGATAATGCGTTCGCTTTAACAATAATTCAGCTGCCAGTATTGTATGATATTATATTCATGTCTTAGCCTGAGTACTGGAAAAAAAGAAAAAGAAAAGAAAAAGTGAAGAAGGCATTACATACACAAGAAAAGCTATCTAATGCAAAAACTATCTTCGTTCCCCTAAGAAGAAGCTTAACAAAATCAAATCAGACCCTTATATAACAAGTTACAGTGATTCTCCTTTTCTTTTTGACTCACCATCTGCTACATTTATCACAGTAAACACAGATTTCCCATTTGAAGATTCTTCAGGAACCTGCAAAGGCTCCAAGGAATCAACTATATCTCGCATTAGAGGCCGAGCTTTTGGATTTCGGTTCAAGCAATGATAAGCTAGCATAGCTGCCTTGTGTACTCCTTTAATAGGGTAATCTCCCTCTAATCTTGGGTCTACAATGTTTAGCAATTTCTTTTTCTCTTTTAGCAAAGGGAGTGCCCAATCTGCAAGGTTCTGCTCCCTCGCTGGCCGCAATTTGTCTAAAGATTTTCTGCCTGTGAGAAGCTCAACAAGAACAACGCCGAAGCTGTATACATCACTTCTAGGAGTGAGATGCCCTGAACAAAAGTTGAATGTTTAGTAATTAGTGAATACTCCGTTTTGATTGTGCTAATTGCAGTGTTAAATGATTTAAAATACTAATAAAGAACAAATTCCAATAATGTTGAGGCCACCCTGTACCCAAGAGCTATCTTAACATAGAAATGTATGGAGGACTTGAAAAAGTTACCTGTCATTATATATTCAGGTGCTGCATATCCGTAAGTCCCCATTATGCGTGTCGAAACATGAGTTTTGTCTCCCATCGGTCCATCTTTTGCTAGGCCAAAGTCGGAGAGCTTTGCATTATAATCCTGTTTGTACATAAAACCACAAATTTAAGCAAATATATGGTTAGTAATACATGCATTTTCAATAATCATGCAGTAATAACTAGTGGTTCTGCACAAGTTTATGAACTCCGAAGCCCATTGGATCGACAAATAAATATAAAAAAAAAAAACAAGGAATTTGTAAATTCCAATAATCCTCAGCACTTCTGCTAAAATAATGCAGGTTTTGATATTAATGTACTGTAGGTTGGTTCAAACTGTGTAAAAAATTTGTACTAGAAGTCATTTTTATATATTGTATAATAGATGCCTCCATATTTGTTGTTTATTTGTTACAAAAACACATTATCATGGCTTTCCTAATAATGAAATCTTCCTTTTGGTGGTAGAAATCAAAACTGTGCTTTCTGCAGTTTTTTTCAAGTGACTATAATGTAGTGTTTCCAATAAACTAACCATATCAAGTAGAATATTAGACGTCTTAAAATCTCGATAGATAACAGGTTTTTCAGCTTCATGGAGAAAGGCAAGTCCTTTCGCCGCACCAAATGCAATCTTCATTCTAATATACCATGGAAGAGGGATCAATACTCCTGCACAGTGGAAGACAATATACATTGTTATATATTCCAAAAGATGGAAAAAGAATTTTACAAAAGAACTTAAGAGCAAGATTGCCCTTAACAGCTACTAGTGAGCTGAGAAAGTTTGGTGTATTATGCTATGCTAACTTCAGTTATGCTTTCTAAAAGTTTAAGGAAAGATAATCATTTGACATTATTAAATAATTAAGGAAAGTGCCTGCAGGGTATGCACATGCCCTCTATTTTTTTGCCTATATTATCTCCCTCCTAATATCTTTTTCTAGTTGCTTTTATGGATTCCAATCACTTCCAGCAAAAAAGTGTTGGGATTTCATGTGAGTGGGAGTCCCACATTGAAAAGAACTAAGTAAAATATTGGAATGTCAAACCCATGAATGGGTTCCCTCACAAGCCCATGGCATAAACCTCCCCAAGAAATCAGGCTCCCCAGTCCTAACAAAAAGAACTAAACCTATTTAAATATACAAGAGTATACCAGAAATTGAAAGAAAATGAAAGGTAAACAAGGGCAACTAAAAATGTAGAAAAAGGAAACCCTTTTGAATCATTAATTTCCTGGAGAATAATTGCCTTGTTGGTCTGGATTTGGCATAATTTTCTTTAACTATTCAAGATCATGAAGTGAAAAGGATTTCAAGATATTATCATTAAGTGAAGTTGTGAGACACTTACTTGAAAATAGATTGTTTTCAACACTACCCCGAGCCATATACTCGTATATTAATACTCGGTGTTCATCTTCACAGCAATATCCAATCAATTTTACCAAATTTGGATGCGAAAGCTGCCCCAGAAATATGACTTCTGCCTAAAAGTCCTCAAAAACTACTAATCAATCTTATCAAGAATACAAATAATATAACAAGAACAAAATGCACAGCAATGTACCTCAATATGCATTATATTTACATTTAGCAGAACAGAAATAATAATTTAAAAAAAAAAAAAAAAAAAAAAAAAATAAGTAATACATAATATAATATAAACCAAGAACAAAATGCCACATGCAATGATTACCTCCAATATGCATATTATTTTAAATCATATAGCAGTATACAGAAATAATAAATTTAAAAAAAAAAAAAAAAAAAAAAAAAAAAGATTACCAAGGCCATTCTCTAAAAAAAAAAAAAAAAAAAAAAAAAAGATTACCAGCCATTCTCTATGACCTTGGAAACTATTATCACCATCATGAACTTTTACAGCAACTGGAAGAGGCTCAAGTCCTTCCCTTAGATCCTCAGTAATGAATCCTTTATAAACACTTCCAAATCCTCCACCACCCAACACACGATCTTGCCTAAAGTTTCCAGTGATTGCTTTCAGTTCATCATAGGTAAATGCAATCAATGGATTTGCAGCTGAATCTCGGCGTAGGTATTCTACTTCCTCAGGATTTGATGGCAGCTTCTTAATATCCTTTATTGGGTTTCCTGAAGGGCTCTGGTCTTTTGGAGACTCTAAGTAGTAATGTAAGAGCAACCAAAATCAAATATACAATAACCAAACCTCACAAAGAACAAACTTCATTTCTACATTTCTTTAAAATGAATTCAAGAAAGAAAGAAAAAACAATACAAAGAACCATTGAAAATTATTTGCATTATATAAAATAGTAGGAAAACCAGCTTTAAGCAGCAAAAGAAGATTATCAGAACTCTAAATTGAGATGTAAACGTAAATTAATAGATATCAATAAAAGCCACTAAAGATGTGTCAATTTAATTTATTCCTCGTTTCCTTTCTTTATAGTTTTTACCGTTAAAGTGAAAACAATTAGATTGTATATGATGTAAATTCAGCTTTATAAAGATTGATGGGACTAATAAAAGAATCCAGAATTGAATGTTGAACTTTATTTTTGAAAACTTGAATCATAAATAAAATTATCAATTGCCAAAACTAGAAAATTAAAGGGGGAAACCAAGATAAAGAAAGGTTAAAAAACTAATAATAAATAAAGAAATATAAAAATAGTGTTGAGATAAGCACTAACCCACCATAGTGAGAACTTCCCACTTTGCACATGAGAAAAAAATATATATATAAAGTATGCTACCTTTATGAGTGGGAATAAATTAAAAGTGAATAAAAAAGGAAAAAGATACATTTCCTTTCATTCTATTGTTAATCAAACTCCAGCAGGAAGGAATATCCTAAAATTAGTATCCACAAATAATCTTCCAAGATTTCAAATCCTACTATTTCCAAACAACCTTGGAAAAGAAAAAAAATCCCATAAAGAACCAAAAGAAAATAACAGAAAACACAAGAAAAATAGAATGTTCAAACTTGAAAGAGTATGCATATACAATCTCATTTGATTTTGGAGAATGAGATAACCATCAGATTCAAAATCAGAAATCCTAACCCAAATTTCATTATAAACTTTCATATCAGAGAGAAACGAAAAAGAAAGAAAACAGAGCATATAATTCACACAAGACATTAAGAAACAGAGAAGAACAGAGGAAGGTCATTATAAATTTATAGTTATCCTTTTAGCTTCCTATATTTATAATTGAAAAACAAAATCATAGTATGTGAAACCCATTTCTCAAAATCAAACGAGAAATGAAACATAAACATTAAACAAAAACCCAAAAAAAAATGATAACCAACCTGATTTTGCATTTGATGAGACTCTGTAAACTGAAGGCTCCCCTCTACACCAACAATTTCCCATAATAAAGAACAAACAGTATATATTCTAACAAAAAGAATAATATGGTATTTCAACACAAACAAAAACCCGTCAACCAAAGATGAAGGCAATATCACTGGTAGGGAAGGATTGGTTTGGACCAAATCCAAATTAGTAAAAAGTTAAGAAAATAAATGAGAAAGAAAAAAGAGAACACTTCAAAAAAGGGAAAAAATAAAACAGTATATCTCAAGGGAAAGAAATGAGAGAAAATGTTTGTGGGTGGAAATGTTGATGACAGAGAGAGAAAGGAGAGTTCTTGATGGAAATGATGGAGTTTTGAGGTGGGGGCAAGTTCTTGGCCATGGCGGAAGTGGGCCCACAAAGAGCAAGCTTTCTTGTTCTGTTGTGTTTTGTTTTTGAATTTGAAAAGCAAACATATATATATTTCTTTTGAGTGCGCTACATTGATTCCCACCATATATTTCTTCCATAGTTTTCTCTTTTTTCTTTTCTTCGACACCATTGGCCACCTTTTGCTTATATAAATAAATCTCATAACAACGGCTATGGAACTATCCAATCACGACTAGAGAGACAGGACAACCAGGAAAAACCAGGCGAAGTCATTAATTAAATTTTATCCAACTGACTCAAGAGAGCGGACATGTTGAAAAGAAATGGAACAAGAGATAGAAGACAAACAGAGGAGAGTCTTACGCCAACAGTGGGAATGAAGAATTAGCAGTTGTGATCCATAAGAAATCTTTTTAATAGTATAACAACCGTGTCTGTAGGATTTCGGTTGCCATAAATTTGTTTCATTCCTTTTATCTAATCCTGGAATTTAAACAACAAAAAATCTGAGCTTAGTTCCCTGTCATTCGTAGTATTTTTAACAATGACTTCCATTTTACTTCTAAGAAAGGTTTTTGCAAGCATAACAAGAGAAAAAAAATAAGAGAATATCCAAATTTCACACTAACAAGAACTACTCTAGTGCTAACCCACACAAAAATGACCAAAAAAAAATAATGGAAGTGATAATCTCACCATAACTACTGCATACGTTATGTGCAATAGTAATATGATGAGTTGAAGACTCAATTCTCGATGAAATTTGAGTAATGATATAGCTCCCGTTCTTTCTCTCTTTTAACTTGCATCCTATGTCACATTACTAAATCACCCATGAGATTTTAAGATGTTGAAAGGTAACTATACTTGACAGATATACTTATCTAAATCTAGACCAAAAAATAAGAACCTTAAGGCAGATATTTTTGAGAGATATATATATTTTATTCAGGATTGCGTATACAGAAACAAAATTATAGAGGAAACTATCTGTCGGCGAAAAACTTAAAGACATATTGAAGGCAATTTAATCACTTAGGTATGGATGGTATATATCTTAATTGGATTTTTGGTATTTGTGCTGAATTCTCAAAATACCCTATTAATTTTTTAGTTGAAAAAATAATGTTATATTATAGAATATATCAAATGAGAGATTACATATGAAGAAAGATGAGTGTAAGATTTCACATTCCAACATATTCAGAGAACAAGGGGAAAAATAAATTACCAAACACAGTATAATGTTCACTACATTCAACTGCGAGATAATAGATATATCTAGAAACGAGCAGAGAGAATAGATTTTGTGGTTACTTGGGCTTACCAAGAATCAAAAGAAGTAGTGAATAGATGTATGGAGTAACATAACAGAGGAAGAAAGAGGAAAAGGAGGAAGTGGAGTTATCATTTGCATGGAAAATAGTTGGGATGGGGAGGGATTTTTAGTGGAGAGAGATGCGTTTGTTGGTTGGGTGCTACATGAGACATAATATTATTGATATATTTTTATCTTTGGTCGCATTGGACATCAGAAGTATGGCCATATGACAGAAAAAGTGGGATTGAGGACGAGAAGTTCTGTATTGCATTGGTATATCTGGTGTTAGTTTATTGTGTTGTTTTTGTTGTGGGATGAAATATTTAAGAAAAAGGCGAAAAATAAACTATAATGGAGATTTAATTATTTTTTTAGGGTACTTTTGTTTAATGCCCACTAGCGGTTAGATGTAGCTAAATTTGGTATTCTCCCGAGCCATTATATTTACGCGTATCAAACAATTACTGTTTATTTTTCTCTTTTTTGTTTTGTCTAGTTTCTCTGACTAATTACCATTTGGGCCACCGTTATTGCTTTGATCGTACTTCATTGAATCGATATATATATATATATTAATAATGAAATTTAACATAATAATAATAATATTATTTATATATTATTATCACTTAAACTATCAAAATAGATGAAAATTTGCTTGTTTATCTCAACCGTGAGTTCTATCTTGTTTAGCGTACATATAACATTTGCTATCCCAAACTTTAAGATCTTTAATAAAGAGGAAATTTCAAGAAACTTTGTATACTATTATTAAGACTATGTGATCAAAAGTTTTCAATAATTTTAGCTTAATGACTAACATTATACGATACATAATAGAAAAGAGAGCAAAAAATAAAAATGAGGAATATAAGGGTCGCAAAATCTAGCCTTATTATAAACTAAAAAAAATAAAACATACTCATCTTATTATTTTAAGTTAATCTATAAAATTTCAGCTCGGCTTGTGAACGTGAGGTGCGGGTCTAAGAAACATTTTTATAGATTTTTCACTTTACATGGAAACAATAGAAACTAAAAATTAATTTTCTTGAATAACAATATTCATGGTTAATTACAAAATTTTGTCTCATTTTTGTTGATATTACTAAAAGTGGTTTTATTTCTTATTTTTGACCATAACGGAACTTATCAAAGCCATTGAGGGCACTGTTAAGGTATGCTAGTTTCCATTCTGGTATGCCAGACCCAAGAACATCAGGAGAAGCAACGCAACATAATATTTTTCATTTTTAATGTAGAGTGGTTTTTTATGAATTCTTCTTCAAATCTAGATTAAAATAAACCAGTGTATTGTGGATATAAACATCAAACTCTCATTTAAATAAAACAAAATCTGTCCGGTAACTCTAAAATTCTGAACTGACGAACATTAAATTATATGACATAGAGGAGATTTCCATAATTTGTTCTTTTCGAAACATTAATATTCTCTCTAATGTATAAGCCACAACCTCTATTCATGACTATGTTTTCTTGAGATTTCTAGTGTTTGACTCAAATGACCCCCTGTCTTAGATTATGTCTTGGAGCGGTTGGTGTGTAAAAAAACAATTTCGTAACTTTTTATGCGGTTCTTCCATAAATATACTAAATTTGAGAGCTGCTGTTTTTTTGTATATATATATATATATAAATATAAAATTTTAACTAGACCGATCACGCTACATTCATCAACTAAACTAATGAGAATAAGATTTACTATTAAAATGAAAGTATTTCTAACTATACATTGAAAAAAAAAAAAGATTAAGTGAAACACTTTTCAAAAAATTCTTCTTATTATTAAGTTGATCTATAAAATTTCAGCTCGGTTTGAGTTTAATTTCTAAACAAACTAAATTTGAACAAAATTTTACATTCATTTAAATAACGGAATCAAGCTTGAGCATGTGATAGTTCCATTCGACAGGACTCGCAAACTATATCATTAATGAGGTTTGTGAACATACTAGTTTAATAAGATTGTGAACAATCTCATTTAATAAACTCGAACCAAATTGAACTCGAGCTTTTATCGGTATTTTCGAACTAAATATGAACAAACTCTATTCAATTCAATTCATTTTATAACCCTACAGATAGTGTGTTAAAAACAATAGTCAAACTAAATTAAACTTTTTAATAAATTTTGAAAGAATTTAGATATTTATCTTAAAAAAAAAACTTCAATCTTAAAACAAAATACTGAACCTTAAATTGATTCAATTTTTTTATTCATTGAGAGGCGTAATAGACCGAAATAACACTGCGGATTACATATTCATCAAAATTCAAACTTAAAACCTGTCACTCTTTACATAAATAAGAAAATCATTCAGACCATACTTGATTAATTTACTCAATTTTTTTTTAAAAGCAATATCTATGTACAAAATATATGTTAAAAGCTTGGTACAAGAAAAAAATAAGTTTCGCAATAATTTTTTTTAAAATAATATAGTGTTTAGAGGTGGATTATAAAAATTAACAACTACTTAATTAACTAAAATTATAAATTATAAGTAGAGATAAGATAGAAGGGAATTTACCCTGACAGTTGAGCTTAGATAAGATTGCATTTCAAAACTAATTTAACTTTAACTGAATATGTGTCAAAAATTTAGGAGAGAAATTGATCAACCATCTCTTCTTTCACTTCAATTTCAGTGTTACCTATACATAGGTATTACCACTGGTTCGGTCTACATTGAAATCGAACCAAAATTGAATTGCACTGTAGATGATCAAAATTGGATCAAAACCGTTGGTTTAAAATTTTAACCACATTTACAACCCATCATACTAGGTATAATTGTAATTCTAGAACCGCCGGTTTCAATTTCAAAACCACTGATTTCAGTTATTAAAGTGGAACCAAAATCGAACAATTTTTAAATAGTTTTAGAACCACCGATTTCGATATTGTTTCTATTTTGATAATTCATTTCAGGTTTTTTAAAATAGTTTTTTAGATTTGTATCTTGAATAAAGAATAATAATAAATATCATTATGAAAAAAAAACTAAATCAATTTAAAGAAAAACAAATCGAAAGTTTCTTACATATTTTTCACAGTTTCAATATAGAACTGTCAGTTTTACATCAAAACTACCGGTTATAGTTTCAGAAGTTAAAAAATCAAAACTAAACCTTAAGTATACGATTTCAATTATGATTTAAAACCAAAAACTGTTGACCACGATAGTTTTAACTGATTTGATTTCGATTTGATTTCTTTTTAAAACTATGCGCGGTCATGCCTACTCTATACTATAGACTGTACCACATTTACAAGAAACTTTTGCAACCTCTTTACCTACTATCATTTCTTGCTATTATTACTATTATTTATTAAATTCATCAATACTTGATTGGGAGTGAACTTTATGCTTGTTCTGTATTTTATATTTATCCATTTTACAAAAATCAAATTATTATTTTTTTCCTTGAATAAATATATGAAGTTAATATAAAATTCCACTCATCAAACATGAAAACAGAATTTCAAGGTTACCCATTCCCTTCATTCTCCCAAGTGGCGACCCAAGATTTAAATTTAGGAGCGAATGAATATATGAATATATTATATATATATATATATTATATATATATATATATATAATATAAATAAGACGTCAAAATAAGTATATATAATAAGACGTGAAACTAAGATTATAAAAAAAGATTATAAAAAAATAAATAATATGCGTTAATCATTTAACTAATGCTAATTCTTAAATGCAT